TAAAATATGTATATAAATTATACTCTGATGTATAAGCTATATTATGTAAAGTTTTACTAAAATCCATTCAGTAGTATTTGCGTGAAAGAGTAACAAACATCCATACATACAAACTTTCGCCTTTCTTAGCGAGCTGGCGGTTCACCTGACGTGAAGTCACAACCGCCGCCCATACACATTTGCAACACCCCTAGGATTACAGATGCATTGTCACATTTTAATAAAGTGGACATGTATTACATAATTATATTATTTTACCTAATACCCATATGTCTAGAATGTGCATTTTTAGCTGATTGTTATTGTTGTTTACTTACATATGAGCTGGAAACGAAAACTACGAGCATACGATAAAAGTTGCAGATTTTGCTGCTTTTATTAATGATTTAATTGCATTAAAAATCTTTTATTCGTGAAATTTTTAAATTTTTTACAATATATATATTCTAACTATTTTTTTATTTGTATGTTAAAATTGCTTTTCTCCGGTAACTTGTACCACGTCTTCAACAATATAATAGCATTGTCTGGGCCCCGTCTTGTTACTATAAGCGCTGCTGTTGCAGTTGAAATAACGATTTTAAGGACCAATTAGTGACGTTACTCAATTATGTACGTTCATCAAGTTTCTTGCGTTTGTTTGTACTTAAATGTGAAACATTCTTGTGCCTCAATAATTAAGAGACAGCAGAATTCAAATCACGTCTCGTAACGCTACAATATCGACTAAGCAGAAATACGCTTAGTAAAGCTACTATATCGACTAACTATTTGTATAGTAGTAAACAAGTATTTTCATAGCTTCGGCATCGGGGTCGTGGGTTCGATTCCCACACGGGACTACTATTTGTGTGACCCACAGATGGTTGTTCCGTCCTTACAACACTATGCTATCGTAAAGTAAGGGCCATGTTTAAAAAAAAGAAGAAGAAAAAGTAAACATAGAAATGCATCTACATAATACAAGTAAAACATCAACGACAGACATCACATTTGACGTGAAAGTATAGTTGAGACAATGATATTTTATACTATAGATATGTTTATACGCATACAAAATCACCGGGCCATAGTGTACCTATTTCCAAACAGAGTGACAGTATAATATAAAAAAAAAGATATAGCGTTATTAAAGAAATAAGAAAAAAGAGGAAGGTAAGTGTTCATCAGTTTAGCATAAGAATAAAAAAAACTGCGATAGATGCCTCGCAGTTTTTTTTCTTTCCCCTCTCTTTTTTATCTTTCTCGTCCCCGTATTAAACTTATTTGTTGCCTCTTTCTTTATATTCCACGTGGCTTTGACTCTGGACGCGTTAACAACATATCTGTTGTATAAATTAATATCTTTGTGTAAAAAGTTTTTTATAGTGCTAATCTTTGCACTTAAGATTAAACATAAAAGTTTGTATGCTGGAAAGGATATAACAATATAAGCGGCAAGCATTGCTTCAAATGTTAAAAAAAACAATGTAGATAAAAGACGTTAAGATTTTCGTGGTTGTGGCAATCAGCCGTTTAGCTTAGTGGCTAAAGCTTCAGGCCGCGAATGCCGAAAACGTGGGTTCGATTCCCACAGCGGCGACAATCTTTTCATTCTTTTTCTACAAGTTTTAATCTTTGTGTAGAAACAAATAAGACAATAAGGGTGTAAATAGAAATATTTTGCAAAAAATTTAACGCCATGAAATCCGTAAAATTGAAAAGAAGTTGTTCACTGATCAAATAAAAACCATTTAAATAAAAATAATATAAATCTTTTCAAAAAAACGACACATTCTTCTTTATTTCTTCTAATGCTTTGTTATACTCTAGAATAAGACCTTTGTATACTCTAGATAACTCAGATTCATTTAACTGTGGTAGGGCCACGCAACAGTGTTCGATGTTGCACGAATGGGCAGGTCCGTCCGGGTTAGTACCACAACCTCACAGAAGACCGGCGTGAAGTGAAAGTGTTACACTTCTGCTTTGCGTGAGTGAGGTAGACGGGGCCCACTTTATTAAAAGGTACGGTAGGTTGCAGATACCTTACGAGTGTTGCATATATCCATGGGCGGGGGTTATCACTTAACATCAGGAGAACCGTCAGCTATTTTTGTTGCTTTGTCAAATAAAAAAAAGCGTGGAAAATCGGAAAGCTTAAATGCTGAGTTCGTCGCGCTGGAGTGTCCTTATCCAATGTCATCATCTTGCAAAACCCATTTTCAATTTATGAAAACATGATTTTAATTTCTCATTTACTGCGGGAAACGCGACACGAAAGCTCTTGTGTGGTTGCATTTTACGTGCCTTGCCTTTATGAATTTTTACGTAAATTGAATTTTATGCGTAGATCGCTTTAAGTTGGATCTCATCAAGATCATCTTTATATATATAACTAGCTGCTGCCCGCGACTACGTCTGCGTGGAATAGGCTGAAGGTGTAAGATTCGGACTGAAAGACAGATAGGCTAATATGTATATAAATTATAGCCTATGTGTGTTATTCTGCTGTTAAATCTATATTTTTGCGAAGTTTCATTAAAATCCATTCAGTAGTATTTGCGTGAAAGAGTAACAAACATCCATCCATACATACAAACTTTCGCCTTTATAATATTAGTAAGGATTCTTCTGTACGTGTGTATGTCACTGAACTCCTCCTAAGCGGCTGGACCGATTTTAATGAAATTTTGTGTCGATTCGAGAATGGTTTAGATTCACAATTCGGTCCACTACATTTTTTTTTATTTTTTATTTCTAAGGTGCCGAATTTAAGTCGTGTGTCCGAGACAACGTCTGTCGGGTCCGCTAGTAAGCCTATAAAAAATAAACGATACTATACTATATATATATATATATATATATATATATATATATGTAGATTTTAAGGATATTAGCGTATTTTATTTTATTTTTTAAATTTCTGACGTTTTGAACACCACTGGGTTGTTCTTGGTTCGTCTTATAACCGATAAAATCCGTTAAATGGTAAATTTAATAATCTGGTATGTTTAATGAGTAAAAAAACCGGCTAAATGCTAGGCGGACACGCGCACGAAGGGTTCCGGACCATTATCTATGAAAACGACAAAAAAAGCATGTCTGTTGTGTCAGAGCCCCATTTAAATATTATTATTATTATTCTGTTTTTGAGTATTTGTTGTTATAAAAATAAATTTACTATGTCTAACTAACAGGTAGACAGACATACAGCGGAGCCTTAGTAAGATGGTCCCGTTTTTCCCTTTGGGTACGGAAACACCTGTATCGGCAGTTGTAATAAAACGCAGGAAACCTTTTATTATGGGAACATATACAAAACTTATTTTACATATATTCCAAATTAAAACCTATGGAATCTCTTTTCTTTAATATTGAAGTGTATGCTTCTGCTATCAAAACATTGTTACACGGAAACGTCGTCTACCGTTGTGTCAACAAATAGAGGTTTCATTACTTCCATTCGTACATTATAAACTCGTATATTTCTACTCCGAAATTTTGGCTCTCGAAAGTGTTATTTAGCAATTTCATCGCGAGTCAGTTTTACACAGTCGTTTTATGACAACTTAAACTTCAACTTCAAGAGCTCAGTGTCCGGGCGCTCGCCTTTAATTCAATATACTCGAGCAACCTGAGTTCGATCCTTGGTGCCGGCACCAATGAAGTTTTTAACTTTAAGTGCTGACTTATCACGTGCTCCGCGGTGAAGGAAAACATCGTGAGGAAACCTGCATATTTTAGAAATAATAACAAAAAAAATAATATTTCGAAAATATGTGAAGTCCGCCAATCCGCAGTGGGGCCGCGTGGTGGACTATGCCCTGATACCCTCTGTATAGAGGAGGCCTTTGCCCAGCAGTGGGACATGTATAGGCTGTTACTTTACTTTTTACTTTTTAAACTTCAACCCGGATTGTTACATTGTTCTAAAGTTCATCCGTACATCACGTTTCCGTGGGAGCGTCGCAACAATTTGCGTTCTTAAAGCTATTTAAGTTTACGTTATCAACAGTTGTATGTATATCGAGCATTTGGTGGTTTAGACCAATGGGTATATCTGGATTAAACTTACAAAGTTTGGCAACTGCTTTGACCAAACCATTGACTCTTGCCGTTTTGGGATACGAACCGAGTATCCCAAAAACAGCAAGGCTCGCAAAATTAGAAATATCGATACTATAATATAATATTATTTATTATTTTCATAACCATTTAAAAAAATAAGTTGTAGCTTCGTAGTTGAGTTAATA